AATTGTTATATCTATCACTAGTTATTTTATGTATATATATTTGTACATTTTTAATGATTTAAAAATTAAAAATTTTAAATTTAAATCAATAAATTCAAATCAAAATATTTTGCATTTAAACTTTCAAATTCAAATTAAGTTTTAAAACATAAATTAAAGATTGAATTTTGTAGAATTTTTTTTATTTCTTTATTTACTTTCTTTTTCTTTTCTTTTTTATTTTCATTCATTTTTTTTTTTTTACAGAATACTTTCTTACTTTTTTTTATTACTTTTTCACTACATATTTTTCTTTTTACTTTGATTTTTTCATTATTTCAATTTAATTGTTCATTTACATTATTTTTTATTAGTTTTTTTCTTTTTGTACTTTCTTAACTTTTTATCTTTATTTTTTTTCATTTTATTTTTTCTTAAGGTTTTGCTTTTTTTTTTTTAGTTTTTTTTTGTTGGCATTTCTTTCTAATTTGTGTTTTTTTTTTCCACACTTTCTTCTTTTGTTTTTATTTTTTATTTTGTTATTAACTTTTATTTCTTCTTTTAATTTTTTATCGTTTGATTTTTATTATATTTATTTCTTCCAACTTATTTCTTAATACTTTTTTTATTTTTTGTTTGTATTTATAAAAACTAAATTTTTTTTATTTTCCTCATTTTAATTAGTTTTTGTATTTTTTAATTTTTTCTTTGACATTTTTTCATTTCCTTACTTTTCTATTTTTTTTTATTGTGTTTTTGTTTATTTTTAATTTTCCTCTTTTTTGGTACTTTATTTTACCTTTTTCCTTTTTGCTTTAATTATTTTCTCTTATTTTATTTCATTTTTTTATACAAAATTTTATGGTGTTTGAATACTTTACTTTATTTTTAATCTTTATTCTTTGGTTTGTCTCATTTTTATTGTCATTTTTTATTTTTTTATTTTTTTGCTAATTTTTTATTCTATTTTTATAAATTTTTCATTAATTTTTTTATTTTTAAATTGTTTTTTTTCTTTTAATTTATTTGTTTCTTTGCTTTCATTTTTAATTTTTTTTTTATATATTTTGTATTTTGGAAATTTATTTTTTTCTTGCTTTTTCTTATATTTTTTGTTGTTCACATTTTTTTTTATTTTTTTTTTGGCAATTTAGAAATTTAGATTTTTTTTTGCTGCAGCTTCTTTTCATTTTTATTTATATTTTCTATTGGACTTTTCTTTTATTTTTTATCTTGATTTTTTAGATCTTTTTTTTTTTTATATTTGTTATATATTTTTCTTGTTTTTGCTTTGGATATTCTAAACTAAGTTTTTTTTTTATTTTAACTATTGAAATTTTATTCATTGTCTATTATATTTTTTTTTATTCATTAATTTAAGACCTTTTGAAGCAAATAAAGCGTGGAAAAATTAAAACTGTGGCAAATGATTTTTATATCACAATATAAAATGTGCACTAGGGTTTTATGCCGTAATTGTTTAGAAACGAAATTTTGATATTTTTAACCTTGCAAAATATTTTAGGATTTACAATTTAACAGTAGTGAAAAATTAAAACAATGCAGATTATCATGTTTTTGTGTTTGAGTGAGTTTAAAATTATTAATTTTCATTTAAAAATTGTTAAAAACAATATTTCATACTTTTAAAGCTCGATTTCAATAGAAATTATTTTTAAAGCAAAACATAAAAGCTTCAAAAACGTTGAGCTTTGAGTTTGGTGTAATGTATAAAAATAAGTTAGCAAATAGCTAAATCTCATCAAGTGCCAATAATGATTTCAAAAAATGACATCCAAATAATCAACAGCATCTCACAAATTCCTTGGAGCACTTATGAATTCTTTTAAAAATGCATATAAAGGCAAATAAGTATGAAAAATCAAAAATCGTGCAAATTGGTTTTTAATCACAATTTGAAATTGTGCATATGGTTTTTATGCTCATAATTGTTTAGAAATGAAATTTTGATATTTTCAGCTCCAAAATCTTTCATGACTTACGTTTAATATTGTGAAAAATTAAAATCAATGTAACGTATTATTTTTTTGTTGTTTTAGTGAGTTTAAAACTATTCATTTTCATTTTAAAACTTATTAAAATAATATTTCATACTTTTAAAGCTCGACTCCAGCATAAATGATTTTCAAAGTAAAACGTTAAAACTTCATAAGCGTCGAGCTTTGAATTTGTGCGTAATGTATAAAGCAAGTTAGCACACAATTAATTGTATCAAGCGCTAATAACAATTTCACAAATGATATCCAAATATCAATAGCATCTCATAAATTTTTTGGAGCACTCATGAATTCTCTTAAAAATGCATCTAAAGCAAATGAGCATGAAAAAGTAAAAATCATGCAAATGGTTTTTATATCACAATTTGAAATTGTGCAGATAGTTTTTACGTCCATAATTGTTCAAAAGCGAAAATTTGATATTCTCAGCTCCAAAACCTTTCATGACTTACACTTAACACCGTAAAAATTTAAATCAATATAGGTTATCATGTTTCTGTGTTTGAGCGAGTTTAAAATTATTCATTTTCATTTAAAAACTTGCTAAAACAACATTTCATACTTTTAAAGTTCGACTCCAGCAGAAATGGTTTTCAAAGCAAAACATAAAAGCTTCAAAAGCATCGAGCTTTGAGTTTGTGCGTAATGTATAAAAACAAGTTAGTAACACATTTAATCGCATCAAGGCCAATAACGATTTCACAAATGACATTCAAATATCAACAGCGTCTCACAAATTTCCTAAAGCACTTATGAATTCTTCTAAAAGTGCCTCTAGAGCAAATAAGCATGAAAAATAAAAATCGTGCAAATGGTTTTTATATCACAATTTGAAATTGTGGAGATGGTTTTTATGTCCATAATTGTTCATAAACAAAATTTTGATATTTTCAGCTCCAAAATCCTTCATAAGTTATACTTAACACTGTAAAAATTAAAATCAGTGCAGGTTATCATGCTTCTGTGTTTGAGCCAGTTTAAAATTATTAATTTTCATTTAAAAACTTTTTAAAACAATATTTCATCCTTTTAAAGCTCGACTCCAATAGAAATGGTTTTCAAAGCAAAACATAAAAGTTTCAAAAGCGTTGAACTATGAGTTTGTGCGTAATGTATAAAAATAAATTAGCACATAGTTTAATCGCAACAAGCGCTAGTAACGATTTCAAAAATGATATCCAAATATCAATAGCATCTCATAAATTTTTTGGAGCACCCATGAATTCTCTTGAAAATGCATATAATAGAGCAAATTCGCATAAAAAAATTAAAATTGTGCAAATGGTTTTTATATCGCAATATAAAATTGTGCAGATCGTTTTTATGCCCGTAACTTTTTAGAAACAAAATTTTGATTTTTCAACTCCAAAATCCTTAATGACTTACATATAACACAGTGAAAAATTAAAACAAATGTAGGTTATCACGTTTTCATGTTTAAAACTATTCATTTTCATTTAGAAACTTCCTAAAATAACATTTCATACTTTTATTGCTAGACTCCAGCAGAAATGGTTTTCAAAGCAAAAGGTCGAGCTTTGAGTTTGTGCATAATGTATAAAAACAAGTTAATCACATCAAGTGCCAATAAAGATTTCACAAATGACACCAAATATCAATAGCATCCCACAAATTCCTTGGAGCACCCATGAATTCTCTTAAAAATGCATCTACAGCAAATAAGCATGAAAAATTAAACCAGCAAAAATGGTTCTCAAAGCAAAACATAAAACCTTCAAAAGCATCGAGCTTTGTGTTTGAGTGTAATATATAAAAACAAGTTAGCACACAATTAATCGCATCAAGCGCCAAATAACAATTTCACAAATGACATCCAAATATCAACAGCATCCCACAAATTCCCTAGAGCACCCATGAATTCTCCTAAATATGCATCTAAAGCAAATAAGCATGAAAAATTAAAACTGTGCAAATGATTTTTATATCACAATTTGAAATTGAGCAAATGGTTTTTATAAACATAATTGTTCAGAAACGAAATTTTGATATTTTCATCTCCAAAATCCTTCATGACATACACTTAACACCATGTAAATTTAAAACCAATGCAGGTTATCATCTTTATGTGTTTGAGCGAGTTTAGAACTATTCAGTTCCATTTAGAAACTTGCTAAAACAACATTTCATACGCTTAAAGCTTGACTCCAACAGAAATGGTTTTCAAAGCTGAACATCGAGCTTTGAGTTTGTGCGTAATGTATAAAAACAAGTTAGCACATAGTTAATCGCATCAAGCGCCAATAACAATTTCACAAATGACATCCAAATATCAACAGCATCCCACAAATTCCCTAGAGCACACATTAATTTTCCTAAAAAGGAATCTAAAGCAAAAAGGCGTGGAAAATTAAAACCGTGTAAATGGTTTTTATATCACAATTTGAAATTGTGCAGATGATTTTTATTCCCAAAATTGTTCAAAAAGAAAATTTTGATATTTTCAACTCTAAAATCCCTCAGGACTTACACTTAACACTGTGAAAATTTAAAACCAATGCAGGTCGTCATGTTTATGTGTTTGAGCGAGATTAAAATGATTCATTTCCATTTAAAAACTTGCTAAAACAACATTTGTTACTTTTAAAGCTTGACTCCAGCAGAAATGGTTTTCAAAGCAATACTAATACTTCGAGCTTTGAGTTTGTGTGTAATGTATAAAAAAAAAGTTAGCACACAGTTAATCACATCAAGTGCGAATAACGATTTCACAAATGACATCCAAATATCAACAGAATCACACAAATTCCCTTGAACAACCATGAATTCCCCAAAAAATGCATAGAAAGCAAATAAGCATAAAAAATTAAAACTGTGCAAATGATTTTTATATCACAATTTGAGATATTGCAACAAGTTTTTATGCCCATAACTGTTCAGAAACGAAATTTTCATATTTTCAGCTCCAAAATCCTTCATGACTTACACTTAACAACACTGCTGAAAATTTAAAACCAATGCAGGTTATCATGTTTATGTGTTTGAGTGAGTTTAAAACTATTCATTTTCATTTAAAAACTTTCTAAAACAACACTTCTTGCTTTTAAAGCTTAACTCCAGCATAAATGGTTTTCAAAGCAAAATGTTGAGCTTTCAATTTGTGCGTAATGTATAAAAACAAGTTAGCACACAGTTAATAGCATCAAGCGCCAAAAACGATTTCACAAATGACATCCAAATATCAACAGCATCCCTCAAATTCCCTGGAGCACTCGTGAATTTGCCTAACAATGCCTCGAAAGCAAAAAAGCAAGAAAATTAGAACCATGCAAATGGTTTTTATATCAAATTTTGAAATTGTGCATATGGTTTTTATGCCCATAGTTGTTTAGAAACGAAATTTTGATATTTTCAGCCCCAAAATCCTTCATGAATTACACCTAACACTGTAAAAATTTAAATGCACTGCAGGTTATCATGTTTCTGTGTTTCAGCGAGTTTAAAAACTTGCTAAAACAACATTTCACACTTTTAAAGCTAGACTCCAGCAGAAATGGTTTTCAAAGCAGAACATTGAGGTTTGAGGTTGTGCATAATGTATAAAAACAAGTTAACACACAGTTAATCACATCAAGCACCAATAACAATTTCACAAATGACATTGAAATATTAACAGCATCCCACAAATTCCCTGGAGCACCCATGAAATCCCCAAAAAATGCATCTAAAGCAAATAAGCATGAAAAATTAAAACCGTGCAAATGATTTTTATATCACAATTTGAAATTGAGCAGATGGTTTTTATCGACATAATTGTTCAGAAACGAAATTTTGATAATTTCATCTCCAAAATCCTTCATGACATACAGTTAACACCGTGAAAATTTGAAACCAATGCAGGTTTATCATCTTTCTGTGTTTGAGCGAGTTTAAAACTATTCATTTCCATTTAAAAACTTGCTAAATCAACATTTCATACTTTTAAAGCTCGATTCCAGCAGAAATGGTTTTTAAAGCAGAACGTTGAGCTTTGAGTTTGTGCGTAATATATAAAAACAAGTTAGCACACAGTGAATCGCATCAAGCGCCAATAACAATTTCACAAATGACATCCAAATATCAACAGCTTCCCACAAATTCCCTAGAGTATCCACGAATTCCCCTAAAAATGCATCTAGAGCAAATAAGCATGAAAAATTAAAACCGTGCAAATGGTTTTTATATCGCAATTTGAAATTTTGCAGATGGTTTTTATGCCCATAATTGTTCAGAAATGAAAATTTTGATATTTTCAGCTCCAAAATCCTTCATGACTTGCACCTAACACCGTGGAAATTTAAAACCAATGCAGGTTATCATGTTTATGGGTTTGAGCGAGATTAAAACTATTCATTTATATTTAAAAACTTGCTAAAACATCATTTCTTACTTTTAAAGTTTGACTCCAGCAAAAATGGTTTTCAAAGCAAAACATAAAAGCTTCAAAAGCGTCGAGCTTTTGTGTTTAGCATAATGTACAAAAACAAGTTAGCACACAGTTAATCGCATCAAGTGCCAATACAGATTTAACAAATGACATCCAAATATCAATAGCATCCCAAAAATTTGATGGAGCATCCATGAATTCTCCTAAAAATGCATCTAAAGGAAATAAGCATGAAAAATAAAAACTAGGCAAGTGGTTTTTATATAACAATTTGAGATTGTGCAGATGGTTTTTATGCCCATAATTGTTCAAAAACGAAATTTTGATATTTTCAGCTCCAAAATCCTTCATGACTTACACCTAACACTGTGAAAATTTAAAACCAATGCAGGTTATCATGTTTATGTGTTTGAGTGAGATTAAAACTATTCATTTCCATTTAACTGCTATTGATATCATGGCACTTACTTTTAAAGCTTGACTTTGGCAAAAATTGTTTTCAAAGCAAAACATAAATCTTTGAAAGCGTCAAGCTTTGTGTTTGAGGATAATGTATAAAAACAACTTAGCACACAGTTAATCGCATCAAGTGCCAATAACAATTTCACAAATTACATCCAAATATCGACAACATCCCACAAATTCCCTGGAGCAACCATGAATTCTCCTAAAAATACATCTAAAACAAATAAGCTTGAAAAATAAAAACCATGCAAATGATATTTTTTATCACAATTTGGAACAGATGGTTTTTATACACATAATTGTTTAGAAACGAAATTTTGATATTTTCATCTCCAAAATCCTTCATGGCAAACACTTAACACCGTGAAAAATTAAACTAATGCATGTTATCATGTTTTTGTGTTTCAGCGAGTTTAAAACTATTCATTTCCATTTTAAAACTTGCTAAAACAACATTTCATACTTTTAAAGTTCGACTCTAGCAAAACGGTTTTCAAAGCAAAACATAAAAGTTTTAAAAGAGTCGAGCTTTGTGAGAGAAATGTAGAAAAACAAGTTAGTACACAGTTAATCATATCGAGTGCCAATAACGATTTCATAAAAGACATCCAAATATGAACAGCATCCCACAAATTCCATGGAGCACCTATGAATTCTCCTAAAAATGATCTAAAGCAAAAAAGCATGAAAAATTAAAACCGTGCAAATGGTTTTTATTTCACAATTTGAAATTGAGCAGATGGTTTTTATGCCCATAATTGTTCAGAAACGAAATTTTGATATTTTCAGCTCCAAAATCCATCATGACTTACAACTAACACTGAAAATTCAAAACTAATGCAGGTTATCATGTTTAAGTATTTGAGCGAGATTAAAACTATTCATTTCCATTTGAAAACTTGCTAAAACAACATTTTTACTTTTAAAGTTCAACTCCAGGAAAAATGGTTTTCAAAACAAAACATAAAAGCTTCAAAAGTGTCGAGATTTGTGTAAGAGCGTAATGTATAAAAACAAGTTAGCACATAGTTAATCGCATCAAGTGCCAATAACGATTTCACAAATGACATCCAAAACTCAATAGCATCCCACAAATTTACAGGAGCACCCATGAATTCTCCTAAAAATGCATCCAAAGGAAATAAGCATGAAAAATAAAAACCATGCAAATGGTTTTTATATCACATTTTCAAATTGTGCAGATAGTTTTTATGCCCATAATTGTTTAGAAACGAAATTTTGATATTTTCACCTCCAAAACCCTTCATGACTTACACCTAACACCCTGAAAATTTAAAACTAATGCATGTTACCATGTTTATGTGTTTGAGAGAGATTAAAACTATTAATTTCCATTTAAAAACTTGCTAAAACAGCATTTCTTACTTTTAAAGCTCGACTCCAGCAGAAATGGTTTTCAAAGCAAAACGTCAAGCTTTGAGTTTGTGCATAATGTATAAAAACAAGTTAGCACACAGTTAATCGCATCAAGCGCCAACAACGATTTCACAAATGACATCCAAATATCAATAGCATCCAACAAATTCTCTGGACCACCCACGAATTCTCGTAAAAATGCAACTAAAGCAAATAAGCATGAAAAATTAAAACCATGCAAGTGGTTTTTATATCACAATTTGATTTTGTGCAGATGGTTTTTTTTTCCCACAATTGTTTAGAAATGAAATTTTGATATTTTCAGCTCCAAAATCTTTCACGACTTACACTTAACGCAATGAAAAAATAAAACCAATGCAGCTTATAATGTTTTTGTGTTTGAGCGTGTTTAAAATTATTAATTTCCATTTAAAAACTTGCTAAAACAACATTTTATTCTTTTAAAGTTTGACTCAAGCAGAAATGGATTTCAAAACAAAACATAAAAGTTTCAAAAGAGAAAAGCTTTGAATTTCTGCATAATGTATAAAAGCAAGTTAGCGCACAGTTAATCACATCAAGTGCCAATAACGATTTCAAAAATGCATCCCACAAATTCACTGAAGCACCCATGAATTCTCCTAAAAATGCATCTAAATCAAATAAGCATGAAAAATTAAAACCGTGCAAACAGTTTTTATACCACAATTTGAAATTATATGGTTTTTATACCCAAAATTGTTCAGAAAGAAAATTTTGATATTGTCAACTCCAAAATCCCTCATGACTTACACTTAACACCGTGAAAAATTAGAACAAATACAGGTTATCATGTTATTGTGTTTGAGCAAGTTTAAAACTATTCATTTCCATTTAAAAACTTCCTAAAACAACATTTCATACTTTTAAAGTTCGACTCCAGTAAAAATGGTTTTCAAATCAAAACATAAAAGCTTCAAAAGCATCGAGCTTTGTGTTTGTGCATAATGTATAGAAGGAAATTAGCACACAGTTAATCGCATCAAGCACCCATAACTATTTGACAAATGATATCCAAATATCAACGGCATCCCATAAATTCCCTGGTGCACTCATGAATTCTCCCAAAAATGCATCTAAAGCAAAAAAAATGAAAAATTAAAACCGTGCAAATGGTTTTTATATCACAATTTGAAATTTTGCAGATGGTTTTTATGCCCATAATTGTTCAGAAACGAAATTTTGATATTTTCAGCTCCAAAATCCTTCATGACTTACACTTAGCACCATGAAAATTTAAAACCAATAGAGGTTATCATGTTTCTGTGTTTGAGCGAGTTTAAAACTATTCATTTTCATTTAAAAACTTGCTAAAAACACCATTTTCGTACTTTTATAGCTTGACTCCAGCACAAATCGTTGTCAAGGCAAAACGTCGAGCTTTGAGTCTGTGCGTAATGTATAAAAACAGGTTCGCACATAATTAATCGCCTCAAGCACCAATAGTGATTTCACCAATGACATCCAAATATCAATAGTATCCCACAAATTCCCTAGAGCACCTACGAATTCTCATATAAATGCATCTAAAGCAAATATGAATAAAAAATTAAAACCGTGCAAATGGTTTTTATATCACAATTTGAAATTGCGCAGAAGGTTTTTATGCCATAATTGTTCAGAAACGAAATTTGATATTTTCACCTCCAAAATCCTTCATGACTATTTACACTGTCAAGAATTAAAAACAATGCAGGTTATTATGTTTCTGTGTTTGAGCAAGTTTAAAACTATTCATTTCCACTTTAAAAACTCGCCAAAACAACATTTCATACTTTTAAAGCTCAACTCAAGCAGAGATGGTTTTCAAAGCAAAACGTCGAGCTTTGAGTTTGTGCGTATTGTATAAAAACAAGTTAGCACACAGTTAATCGTATCAAGCGTCAATAACGATTTCACAAATGACATCCAAATATCAACAGCTTCCCACAAATTCTCTGGAGCCCCCATGAATTCTCCTAAAAATGCATCTAAAGAAAATAAGCATGAAAAATTAAAACCGTGCAAATTGTTTTTATATCACAATTTGAAATTGTGCAAATCATTTTTATGCCGATAATTGTTCAGAAATGAAATTTTGATATTTTCAGCACCAAAATCCTTCATGACATGCACCTAACACTGAAAAATTAAAACCAATGCAAGTTATCATTTTTCTGTGTTTGAGCAAGTTTAAAACTACTATTTCCATTTAAAAACTTGCTAAAACAACATTCCATACTTTTAAAGCTCGACTCCAACAGAAATGTTTCCAAAGCAAAACATAAAAGCTTCAAAAGCGTTGAGCTTTGAGTTTGAGCGTAATGTATAAAAACATGTTGGCAGACAGTTAATCGCCTGGAACGCCAATAATGATTTCACAAATAATATCCAAATATCAACACTATCCCACAAAGTCCTTGGAGCACCCATGAATTCTCCTAAAAATGCATCTAAAGCAAAAAAGAATGAAAAATTAAAACTGTGCAAATGGTTTTTATATCAGAATTTGAAATTGTGCAGATGGTTTTTATGAACGTAATTGTTCAGAAACGAAATTTTGAAAAAGCTTCAAAAGTGTCGAGCTTTGAGTTTGTGCGTAATGTGTAAAATCAAGTTAGCACACAGTTAATCGCACCAAGTCACAAGAATGATTTCACAAATGACATCAAAATATCAACAGCATCCCACAAATACCCTGGAGAACCCATGACTTTCTGCAAAAATATGCATCTAAAGCAAAAAAGAATGAAAAATAAAAACCGTGCAAATGGTTTTTATATCATAATTCGAAATTATGTAGATGGTTTTTATGCCCATAATTCTTCAGAAACGAAATTTTGATATTTTCATCTACAAAATACTTCGTAACTTACACTAAACACCGTGAAAAATTAAAACCAATGCAGGTTATCATGTTTCTGTGATTGAGTGAGTTTAAAACTATTCATTTCCATTTAAAAACTTTCTAAAACAACATTTCATACTTTTACAGCTCGACTACAGCACAAATGGTTTCCAAAACAAAACGTAAAAGCTTCAAAAGCGTCGAGCTTTGAGTTTGTGCGTAATGTATAAAAACAAGTTAGCACACAGTTAATCACAGCAAACTCCAATAACGATTTCACAAATGACATCCAAATATCAACAGCATCCCACAAATTCCCGGGAGCACCCATGAATTCTCCTAAAAAGGCAGCTCAAGCAAATAAGCGTGAAAAATTAAAACCATGCAAAAGGTTTTTATATCACAGTTTGAAATTGTGCAGATGGTTTTTACGCCCATAATTGTTTAAAAATGAAATTTTGATATTTTGAGTTGGAAAAACCTTCAT